CCCAGTGACGCTCTCTGCTTGCGCAGGTGCTGCCAGCCAGAAAGGGAGGGTCATGGGGATCCTGAGGAGCCTGGGAGCCCTGGCCAGGGCCCTGGGGCCCATCGTGGCTGCAACAGGTGAGTGAGGGCTCGCGCTGGGAGCCGCGGGTGGGTTCAGCGCCAAAAACCCCTCTGGGCAGGGACCGGTGCAAAGGGCTTCAGTGCAAGGCGCTCCCGCCGCCACCCCGTGTTGGTGCCGGTGCCGCTGGGCAGGGCCGGGGTTAAGGCCCAGGCCAGACGCTGCTCCAGGTGGGTCCAGCTGCAGGCAGCAGCTGCAGCGCGGCCCTAACCCACTGAAGACAAACACCCATTTTGCTGCAAAACCACAGGGCCAAAGCCACCCGGGGGCCCAGCTCCCAGCCGGGGCATCTCTGCCCGCCAGGCAGCAGGTTCCTGTGCTCCCCAAAGACCCCCCCAGCCCAGTGGGAGTCAGTGGAGCAGCCCCACAGGGACAGGCAGGAGCCCCAAGCCAGGACTGCCTGCTGCTTAACACTGAGCAAGCAAAACCAGGGGGCCAGCCGCAACTCCCCCCCGCCCCCTTTCAGTACGGGCAAGAACGAGACCTTCTGATTTTTAACATGCAGTTTCCCTGGCAGCCTGGCGCTGGCTTGCATGCAACCAAGGAGTACAGGGCCAAGGAGGCAGTAGTTTTCATGTCCTGACAGCTCTATTTTCATTTGTACCAGGAAGCTGGTGCAAGTGGGAGAGCTGGCTGCCTGTTTAACCCCACGCAAGGACAAGAGCATTAAGTAATGACTCCTGTTTCCTTTCCAGTTTATTGGCTGGCAGGGGCGCACATCTGCTTCACCCTCTGCAGCGCTTTCTTCCTGCTGCCCTTTATGGTGCTGGGTGCTGTTAAGGAGCCCAGCAAGGTGGAGTAGAGGCTGCCCCACCACGACAGGCTGCGGCACGTGGGGCCGCTGTGACCACAGTCACGGAGCAGCGCCCGGGAGGGCAGCAGCCCAAAGCTTTAAGCAACTGCCTTAAGCCAGGGCACTCCTGGGCGCCACGCAGGCCGCAGGAGCTGCCCTCTGTCTGAGCACAGGGGCTCTGTTTTTAATACACAAATAAACTTCGAGAGATGTTTTACGTTCCTAATACACTATCGTATTTACTTGAGGCCCAAGCACTGTGGTTTTTTTCATTACAAATAAAGTGTTGTACTGTACAAGGGCTTGGTAAGTTAACTGCAGGTGAGCAGATATGTGAACCCCACCGGGTTGGTGTCCGGCCCTATTCAGAGCTCCCTCCACAGGAGTGTGGGGGGGGTCCCGGCCGCTTCCTCGGCTCAGGCAGCAGCCGCAGAGGAGCCGGGGCGGGGGTGGTGGTGGTGGTGGGGGGGTGTCCCTGTTCTTCAGCCCTGGGCTCAGGCTGCTCCTGGAGGAGCCTGACACCGACTGGGCCCCCAGCAGGCAGAGCAGCAGTCATTCATCAACCCCTACAGTAACTGAGCAATAAGAGAAAATAAAGTTAATTCAAGGCTCAAACCTGGACCTGCAGAATAAAACTGTATATTAAGAGTTTTGAAAGAGAGAGGGGGGAAAAAGATCTTTTTTTAAAGAGTTTTATTTGTGAGTAGAACTTAATGATACAAGAAAAAAAAGAAAAATACAGGACTTGCTCTTGCCCCAAAGTGTGTAACCATACCATACATGACTACATTTTAAGTCTTTGTATTACAATATGAAAGAACAAACTACAAAATTAGAAATTAAAAATCATTGCATACGTGGTCAAGATAAATGGAAGGATTTAGTGAACAGAAACATAGAGCAGTTAGTGAGTAATGGCCTCAGGCCCATGGCAGTTGCACACAGAGCCACGCACAGGGCCCGGGCACCGCTGGGGGCTGCGGGTGCCGCATGGCCCTTCCTGAGCCCCCGGCAGCCCCTGTGCCCCACAGCCCCCAGCGCTGCCGTGTGCCCAGCCGTGTGCCACGGTGCCCCGCGGGGCTACGGCCACGTTCTGCTGTGCTACACACACGTACTGTGAGGCTCGCGTGCTTCCCTCAGAGGTTCCAATGGTTCCTGCTGTTTGTTAAAGGCAGAGCCAGGTGATGCCTGCAGCAGGAATCGCTGAGCGCCACTCTCCGCCCGCGCCTGCACTGAGATCCTTACGGAGCCGGAGACTTCCTGCAGGTGTCACCCAGCCTGGCTTGAAACGCCTTTCAGGATTAGTGCTAGACACAAGCAGGCAGCAACACTAGAACAGCCGATTCGGGGTGAAAGCCATTTCCCTTACCATGCCACATGTTAAACACACACGTTGAGCAACCTGCAAATACAGCCTGAACATCAGCTGGGGTTTTAGTACTTCACTGCGAGCAATAAAATCGAGAAATAGCAGTTTTGGTAAATGAAAACAATTCATTTAAAAAAAGTGTTAAATATGCCGTGTCACACACACAAACTTTTCTCATATGAGGGAATAAACACTAAAGGCTGCAGGTAGAGGCTGCCTACACACCCAGGGGAGCTTAAGGGTGATGCTGACGTGAAGAATACTCTGCCCGCCAGCCCTTACGCGGCTGTTGTTTAACCTTCGTGCTTTCCACCAGCCAAATTCAGAAGCGACCAGGCTTTCGCCAGGCCATGGGGTTCCTTAAACTATAGTCTAGAAAAAAACGGGGGG